TAATTTGGCCACAGCAACTGAAGGAGAAGTTGCAGGGAGGGAGGAACAGAGTTTTTATTTATTACCGTAAAAGGTCTTTTTTTCATGTTAATTCCTTTAAAAAAATATAATAGTACGTAGGGGTTACATTACAGGCCTGTTTCACCAACACAAAGTATCTGTACTGGAGTAGCACATGCAAATGAAGCTGAAACAGAAAATCATTGTTTAATATAATTTGCTTAAAAACAAAGTGCAAAACTATCCATATTTTAGTAAAGGAAACAAATGAAAAAGTGCATTTTTTACACTTTTCCTGAAAGAGCACTGGGGCTGAAGAAATGTCTTTATTTGGCTTAATAACTTTATTTCTTCCCATTAACATTGTCAGCAGATTAACTGCTTAGCCATTAAACACCAACTCTACAAGCATTTAAGTGCACACCTAGCTATGCTCACATGAGTTATCCCACTGAAATGAGAATGCTGTCCTGAGCAAAATAGTTCAGGGTTCAAAGTAGGAATAGCTAAACACCTTAGTGCAGCATTTTCAAATACCTTAAAATTAATTTAACCTTTCACTCTTCTGAGTCTATAATTTAATTGATTATTTGCAGTAAATGCTTCCTAATGTTTATCTAGTGGTAATATTTAAAAAATAGGAATCTGCCTAATATTGTGCATCTTTTGGTTTTTATTACACTGTTGGGTTGGGTTTTTTTTGCTTTCTTGGTCAAAACTATTTGCCTCTTCTTACTGTGAACCATGTGACCATCAAGATCTTCTCTAGATGTAGTGGTATTTAGTGACTTTATAAGATAGAGCCACTCTGACCTACTTTAAAACTACACATTTTGTAGAAAAGTTGTATATACATTTGTACTCACACACTGTTGCACATATTAAAAACAAGTTTCTAAATTCTGGGAAATTTAGTGCAATCAGTTACACTGGCTGATATCCAATGAGTTTTTGCCAGACAGTGTGGTATGTTTGCAACATACTTCGTCACAGACTTCAGCAAGGCCAGGACTTAAGAGTAAGCATACGGGGCTAGCCCTATTGAAATCTGAAGCTCTGTAGCACACTCAAAGATTCTCTTTAAAGATAGACCTCTTTCTTGTTGGATATTTGCAATTCAAGAAAGGATCATAGAATGATAGAATGGCCTGGGTTGAAAGGGATCTTAACCATCACCTTGTTCCAACTCCCCTGCCATGGACAGGGACACTTTTCACTAGGCCAAGTTGCTCAAATACCTTGAACCAGGCAACATCATTTGGAGTGCAAGTGCAAACTCTGTAGGAAAACCACATTCTTAATTAAGTGAAACAGAATAAAAAACTTGATTCAGCTCTTTAAAAAGTAAAGTTTTCCCCATTGGAAATGACAGTGGATTTATTTGCTTTGTGTAAAGATACATTGTGTAATACTATACAGTTCTTTCAAATGAAAAACAAAGCAGAAGAAACAACATCATTTTTTCCCAGTAAAGTGAGTAAACAGAATCCACCTCTGATACCATTCAATACTTACGATGTTGTGCCCTCCTCTGTATAACACCAAGTAAAGGATCAGTTTGGCAAATTTTAAACACTCTACTGGCAAGACCTAATAATCTATTACTATCATAATAACTCTAATTATTCAGCACCCTACCTCTCCACTGACCATCCTGAAAAGAGACATCTGATAAAAATAGTCCTTAGAGATTCCTGCTTTTTACGTTGCTATTACTGTCAGTGCAAACACAGGCTGGAGTGACACCACCTTCCATTTTTCACTCCAGAGATTTATTCAAGAGACAATGGTATACTCTCTCCAACAACTACCTCAAAGTCTAAAGCCTCTTTCTTATTTGAGCAGTTAACTAAATTTTGTAAAAAAAGAAGGCAAAAATATATACCCCTATTAAAAATTCCAAATACATAATGTTTGTGACTTAAGCCAGGTGATTTGCTTCAGTTAGAACTTGGGAAGGGCTGCCAATGGAGCTGATAACCACTAAAGTTTTACTTCAAGGGATATGATGCTCTTAACAACAGTAGTAATTCACTAATAGCAATTCAGTCAGTTCCTTGGAGAGAGAAAGCTATGTTGGTAAAACGACTATTTTAGTTAGTTAGTCTTTTCAAGCATAACTAACAATCGGAAGGAAAGTAAAATAAATAAATAGAATAAAATCCCTTACCATCATAGCTTTGCCCGCAAAACTGAGTGTATACCAGGCATCAGAAAAGCATGTGCATTTGAAGAACAAAAAAGTAGGCTTTGAAGTGGGGAGCACTCAGTGAAGATGAATGGGCTGAGGTCACGACTCTAAATGTTTTATTGTTTTAGTCCATCAGCCTTGCTGAACAAACACGGCAGCCAAGTGCTGATTTACAGGGGGAAGGTTATCTTCCTGACCAATAAGGACCAAATGTTTTGTTTTGAGAAACAAAATCAGATTCTATGGAACATAAAATCCTTGGAACCTGCTGCTGAATTCCTGCCTTCAGTAATTTCTTCTTGCAGCTGGCAGAAGCTTAAAACAGTAAAATTGTGCAGTTTAGGAAACTTTCCACAGCAATGTCTTCCTAATGTTGAGTTCGACAGAGTCATAAAACATGCCATAGAGAAAATTAGTCATTTTATCTGATTTTATTTTAATCTAACAGGTTTTCAAATTAATTATTGTAATTCTCTTGCATTTTACTTGCAGGTTGGTTAAGGGTCAGCTGCACATGGGAAACTAAGAACCAACCAAGAGCCATTATGAAAACACAGTAAATGCAAATCCAAATAAGAATTTCTGAACTCCGCAATGTACAGAACTGCTCTGATAGCCATAGTTTTCCAGCAAATGGGTGTTTTCCTGGGAATTTAACATTAGCCAGTATCTCACGGGGGTAAAAAAGGACTGTAACAAACGTACTCTATAAAACCTTTGGGGTAGGTAGATCCACAAAGAGACTCTAGCCTTCAACATTAGACATGACAGATTCACAAAATGCCAAAGGCCTCCCTACCTGCTAAGGAGGAAAAATTCTTTGGCACCTGTATTTCTGCCCATTATTATACTCTAACACAGCTGTAGTACTCAGAGACCTACATTACACCTAAGCCCAGTGAAGTATGAGGACACAGATTCATCTTACAGGGAGAGTGCCCTGCTTTATCAAATAAATTAATAATCGTATCACCCTGCTGAATGGTGGATAGCTACTCTGCCCAGTTTGGAGAAAATAATTCTTGCTGATGTCATTTGATTGTTTTAGACTTTGGTTTACTGGACATACCGGGATGGTATAGCCTTGTGTCTTGCATAGAAATAATGCCACCTATACCTGTAATTAGTCACTCAGCAGACGTTTGGACCTACCTGTGCCTCTTGCTGTTCAAATGTGCTGAACACAGCACCGCAGGAAAAAATTTTCCTCATCTCTCTATGACTGAATTAATATTTAATTGTTTTATGCAAATTGACACAGGAGAAGTAGGTTTCTTTTCAGAACGGCATGTAGGTAAGGTTTTTTCTGAGAGAATGATAACCTGGTTCATGTCTCTTATGCTCCGGCTGACAAAGTGTCCCATGACCAAAATCAGTGTCCTAACTTTTGAGCTTTTGGAGAACATCCCATGATTTCTCACAAAAGGGCTGAGCAGCTTTAGTTCCTACTTCAAAGAGAGTTTCCAGCTGAGAATCGAAGTCAGAGATACGTGCCTTTCCCTGCACAATTAGTCTTGTCCGAGTCTTGATGAATCTAAGTCAGTAACTAAGTTGTTCACAACTGCACTTTGTTGGAATAAAGCCTCATTTTATCTGCTTTTATTTCAGTTACTTTATGTTTTTTTTTTGTTATTTGCTGTTGCTGTATGGCAGGATATCAATGCTGTATTTGAAAAACAACACTTGCTCAAAGAAAACTAGGGAGAGAAAAAGATAAGAGTTGAAAGGGGTTTTTTTGGAAAAAGTGCTTGTGTTTCTGGATACAGTGATCATTGTTCAGCTGTTCAGATTGTTTAAACTAAACAATTCTGCATTAGTCAACAGTTCTATTACAAGACGAGGTATAAGCATAGCCTTCTCTAAAATGGAGGCTTCCCAATAAATAGAAAAATAAAGTGAAATTTATTTGTTTTCAGCACCCACTTCAGTCTTATTTGAAGAGTTTAAGGTGATTTGGTGCTGTTGGCCACTTGACACATCACATTTCAGTGAGCAAAGCTGTCAAGGTGTTCTTCCTCTCCCACATGTTTTTAGAAGGAATAATTCTTGTTACTGTATGTTCTGAGTAATAATAACAAATATTACTAGAAAGTTACAAAAGTCTTTAAAAAAGCAAATTAAGTTTAGCTCAATTATTTATTTACCAGAGAAAGGTATCAGGACACAATATTTGAAATTTTTGTAGTATTTGATTAGACTGATTGATTTTCAGCTGAAGACATTTACATTCATTAGTCCTACCTACTGATCACTAGTACTGGCTTTCTTAGTAAGTAATGAATAAATAGAAACTTTAACAAAACCTCATCAAGTCTTGTGTTTTAAGGATGACAACACAAAAGTTAGAAACATTTCAAAAATCCTTTAATAAATCCTTTATATCTTTTAAACTTTAGCTAGTTAAGAGACATTTTCATATATCCAACATAATTGCATGTTTTTTACTAACACACTCCTATGTAGTTCTGCAGAATGGTTAAAACTTATTACATATAGAGTGACTAAGCACAATTAAAGTCTACTAAATAAAAGTCAAATTTCTCTATTATATTTTGACAGCAAATAGGAAAAAAGTGAGAAGACTAAGAAATCATGCAAAATGCAATAGGTTTAATTTTAATTGATTGTTTTAATGGCACACACAAACATACCAAAATTAACTGATAACATAACAAAATTAACATAACAAAATTACTGATCATTGTTCCAAAAATGTACTTTACTCCTATTAAATTACTTGCGTGATTTCAGTGGAAGCATTTAAAGTACAGCTGTAAATATTTTTAATCTTTGACTTTTTCTTTTACAGGAGCCTCTGAATGTTATTGATCCCAGTTTGATGGATCTAAATGGTCCAAGTGAAGATGCACTAGAATGGGATGAAACCGACATAAGCAATAAGCTGATCAGTATTCATGAAGACTTAAGCGATCCTGATCAGGAGCTCAAGAAGGATGACCTAAACCAGAAACCTGCTTCAGGAGAATGTGGTGATAATGATGTGAATGAAGACGAAAGTATCAGTAGTCGTGGAAGTCCTCTTTATTGTTCCAACATTGCTTCCCCTCCAAATCCTCATGTCTATCAGGTCTATAGTCTTCATAATATTGAATTATCAGAAAAAAACCACATGCCTTTTTTGAAAAAAACATCCAGACTCTCCAATGTAACACAGTCTAACATTTTAAACAAAAGTCTTAGTAAAGACTCATCATTTTCATCTACCAAATCCCTGCCAGATCTAATAGGGGGGACCACACTGACAAAACCTTATAACTATATATATCAGAGTGGAAACATAAGCAGGCATTCTGAGAGTGAGAGTGGGATAGTGAGTGAATGTGATACAGAAACTACAAATAATTCAGAAATTTTTTTGCTAAATGATATTGAAAGCACTCAGAGTAATCCTGAAATTGGGCATGTGGAAAGTCAAGTGGATGATGTAATACATCAAAAAATAAAGCAAGATGAAGAAGACCATGCTAGTCTCTCAGACGATTTCCAGTTGGCACCTTCTGCATGTTGTGGAAGTGAAAATGGTGAGGATTTGGACAGCATTACCATGTCTAACCCTGTTTCTTTAGAAGAATTGCAAGGAAAACATGACGTGTTTACATTTTATGATTACTCATATCTTCAAGGCTCCAAATTCAAATTACCTGTGATAATGAAACAATCACAAATTGAAAAAACACATACAGAGGGTAGTTTGTTTAATGACATTTGTTTTGATAAAATGCCTGGTAACTCTGAACATAAGTCTGTAGAGTCACAACCAGATGAGTTTATTCATGACCATACTCTGGCAAGTATTTGTGGAGAATCAGATCCCAATTGCTGTAAATCTGCAGAAACTGTAAGAAAATTAACTGTTACAGAGAATACAAGACTGGTTTCAGCTTTATCTCGTAGTTCTTCATTAGAATCTCTGTCTGTAGTAGGGGATTTATTCAGCTCAGGTATTTTTAAAAGTGGAGATGGTCTTCAGCGAAGTACCTCTTTGGAGAGCTGGCTGACTTCCTACAAAAGCAACGAAGATCTTTTTAGTCATCATGGCTCAGGAGACATAAGTGCAAGCAGTGATTCTGTTGGAGAGCTCAGTAAAAGGACATTAGATCTTTTGAATCGCTTAGAGAATATCCAGAGTCCTTCAGATCAAAAGATAAAGCGCAGCATCTCTGATATAACACTCCAAAGTAGCTCTCAAAAAATGTCTTTTACTGGACAGCTGTCTCTAGATGTTGCATCTTCGATCAATGAAGATTCAGCAGCTTCTCTCACTGAACTCAGCAGCAGCGAGGATCTTTCTCTCTGCTCTGAAGACATTGTACTGCACAGAAATAAAATACCAGATTCGAATGCATCATTTAGAAAACATCTTAATAGGTCTGTAGCTGATGAGAGCGATGTCAATGTCAGCATGATTGTTAACGTCTCCTGCACTTCTGCTTGTACTGATGATGAAGATGACAGTGATTTGCTTTCAAGTTCCACTCTTACCTTAACTGAGGAAGAGCTAGGTATCAAAGATGAAGATGACGACTCCAGTATAGCAACTGATGAGGATATTTATGAAGAATGCAATTTAATTTCAGGACTTGATTATATAAAAAATGAACTCCAAACCTGGATTAGGCCAAAATTTTCTTTGACAAGGGAGAAAAGAAAAAGTAACCTCTGTGATGAAATTCAACATAGTAAAGAAGTTAGTAACGAGACATCTAAAGCCACAGATATATTAAGCATTGAAACACTATTGAATGGTTCAGTACAGAAAATGTCAGAAAATAATGGCAATAGTAAGAATATACCATGTGATCATGAAAAAGGGACAAAGAGTCACCCAATGAAAGACATCTCCCAGGTTGTGAAGGATCAGCTTGTGGATGATATGGAGAATGGCAATGTTGAAAATACTCTTGGCAGTCAAAAGGAAGGTGTTGTTAAAATAGCAGCAACACCCAAAACTCATGCATCACTTGATGTTAGAGAAGCTGAAAATGAAGGTTGTGTCTGTGAAGCATTTACAGACAGTTCAGATGATTCACGTATGGACAGTAAAGAGACTATTCAGTCCTCAGCTGGATTCAGAAACCCTTCAAAAGAATGTCAAAGTCATCTTCAGCCTGATCATAACTCTATTGCTTCCTCGCCTGCCAAAAAGCCTTGTCTTGAATCTTCCTCAGAAATTAGTTCTGTAGGCATGCAAGGTACGGCTTTACAGGCATCCTTACCTAATGGTCAACAACACAGAATAAGCATTACTGAAAAATTTGCTGATTGCTGTGCTACCCTGAAATCCAGTAAAGCAGAATGCATTTCCTCAACCAATGGTCTTGATTTGTGCTGTAACTGTGAATCTGCTGATTTTGATAAAAAAACCATGGAGGATGGCTCAGTACACAATTTTGTGAAGGAGATAATAGACATGGCATCAACAGCTTTAAAAAGTAAGTCACAGCCTGAATGTGAGTCATCTGCTCCAGCTTCATTAGCACAGATCAAGGAAAAAGTGTTAGAACACTCTCATAGACCCATCCAGCTAAGAAAAGGGGACTTCTATTCTTACCTTTCACTTTCTTCTCATGATAGTGACTGTGGAGAGGTATTCAAATACATAGAGGAAAAGAGCAGCACTCCTGTGCCACTGGACTTCACAGATGAGAGAGAAAATATTGAATGCTTTTTTGAAGCCTGTCCTGAGGAAGAATGGGTTGAGCAGCAGCAGTCCATTTCTAATGGTTCTCCTGAAGCACAAGTTGAGCAGCAGCAACCTATTTCTAACCCTATTTCTGAAACATCTGCAGAGCCACTAGGTGAAGTGACTCCAGAGTCATTAGAAGTTAAAAGTTCACCTGAAGGTAGGGATTTATCTTTTTTATGTGGGAATGACAATAATATCAATGTCCCAAATCCTAACAAACATAATGCATCAAACAATTTGAAAAATGCTGATGATGATTTGCTGATTTCAGATGGACAGACTGAAAGTTTTGAAAAGAATTCTCCAGAGCTTAGCACTAAAAAGAGTAGTACAGGGAAATCACCTGGAACTGAAGAGCACAAAGGATGTGTTGCTGCTTCTGAAGAGGCTTCAGCTATAGAGTTTCAGATAAAGCCTGGCCATTCACAGAAAAAGGACGTTTTGCATCAGAACAGAAAAACTCTTACTTGTGAAGAAAATCTCCTGAAACTTCATAAGGAAAGACATATAAATATGCACAGATAGAATGTAACCATCTCAAGGCACGTACATTATTCTAGAAACAGGTATGTACTCTACGAGTTGCACTTTGTTTGGTTTTTTGGTTTTGTTTTGTTTTGTTTTTTTTTTTTTTTTTAGCTTTTCTTAGGTTTCGGGAATTTTTTTACATTTTTGTACAATGAAAGGAGATGAATTGCCAGCCAGGGCTTCTATTTCATTACAGTGCTATATCATTTGTTTTGATTACACTATAATCCTAATTTACATGCCACTAGTCAACAAATGCAGCAAATACTAATGGCTTTTTGCCCTTTGGCTTTGCATTGACGGGAGCTGCTCCCATCTGGAACAAATCTGCTATCTTGCAGAACTTGGGAATTCTTCAAAAGTAATATATCAGGCTCTTCTTCCCTCCTCAACTGAGCTGTGGAACCAGAAACAAGCTCCACTCATTGATGCTCTTCTACACAGTAAGCCGGCCTTGGGAGGGGTTCAAAAGCACTTGATGAAGCTGAACCTGCAGTCCTACAAGAATTTTGGGTGCCTAGCGAGTTGGAGTTCTACAATATTTGCAGACAAAACAAGAAGAATGGCTAAGCATACTGGAGAATAAGAGAGATAATAAGTCATCTCTGGATGTCAGTTTACCATGATTCAAATTCAGTAGGCCATTATTAAGAACCCAATTATTACAACACAATGTTAGAACAAAAGCTGAGGTTGTGATAACAAGAAATCTTTGCAGCATCATTAAAGAGTATAGTGTGGGGGTAGTGTAGAATAAAGACCTGAATACCAAAGCAGATGGAAACTCATAGCCACACAGCTTACTGCAAGCTTTGGTTCTATTTTGTGGTAAGCATTTTAAAACATAAATAAGATGGTGGAACCCAAGATGAAAAGGTGGACCTAGTCTCTTCCAAAATTTGAAAGTGGTTCAGATCTGGAGTTTCTGACCTCACATAAATGCTCAACTATTACTACACATTTAACAACAGAAGAAGATCTACAAAGCAACTTTTGAATCAGTTCCTAGCATGTAGCACTGCTGCTGTGAATCTCACTAGTGGTTCCGTGGCAAAAGCCAGCATAGCTACATGGAATGCCATTAGTCTTTGGAAACACTCTTCTAGTAGACCACAGCCAGTATGGCAACTCCAAATGCCAATCCAATTCCAAATGCCGCTGCTTGCCAGAAGCTGTAGAAAGGCTAAGCATGGGACCAGGTTTCCCTGGGAAATTCTGGAATCTCCATCCATGGAGATTTTCAAAATTCGAGTGGACATGTCCCTGAATAATCTTGTCTACCTTTGAAAATAGCCCTTCCTTCAGCAGGAGGTTGGGCCAGCTGACGTTCAAGTTTCCTTCCAACCTAAGTTATGCTATGATTCCTCAATGTCGCTAGGAGAAAAGGCTGTTATTCATCACTGCCCACTGAAACCACTAGTGCTCTCCTATTGCAACTGCATAGCTGTAGCAGAGTATCTTGTCCTGTTTATACAGATTGTTTTTCTGCTCTTAGGTATCTAACTCCCACATCTCCTGATTTTGCTATGGTATATTACTACGCTTTGGGCTTTTCATTTACATATATTGGTGGTTTACCCAGTATTTGCACATTCACATATGTAAAAATATATCTAGCAAAGCCTTTAGGTTATGACAGCAAGAGTCTACAGCTTGCCACTATCTCAACGCATATCTATTTGACTAATGCATTGTCTTGGAACATCATAGCAAAGAGGATATTTCTGGAATGGCCTTGAAATAGTCTACCATGACCTGCTGATTGTCAATTAGGTTAATACTTGGACACATCCAAACAACCGGAGAAGCACTGGAAATCAACTAGGAATTACAAAACTCATAAATGATACAATGTATTCTAGAATCACATTAAATGGATTATATGTATATAGAAGCTTCTATTTGGAAATTGAGATGCTGACAAAAGTCTGAGGTTGATAAGTGATAATTATGTAAACATAAGCTTTCCTAAATTACTGGTTTATTAGTTTTCTTATTTTTTTCACTTATTTTTATAATATTGATTTGAGGAAGACTACTTGCTAGAGTGAGTGTGATTTTATTCTTGTTCTCATTCTTTCACTGATGAAGATAATAACATCTTTTCAATTCATTAGTACTTTTCCTCTGAGGATCTCAAAATACTTGTATAAACCTTTCCTCACTTTTCAGAACTTCATAGTTACTTGCATGGTAGCCAGTTTTTTCTTTCATAAGACTGGGATATGACAATGTGCAGTTGGTGTGAGGACACAGAGGATAGAGTTATTAATAAATGCCCCACAATGCAATAAAATGTAATGCAGAATTTGTATGCAACAATTTAATATGGTTAGGTTATAGTTTCCAATTTTTGCCTGGCAGTTGACAAATTAATTTGAAGCTAACAAACCCTTCACGCTACATCCCACTTTTTATATTTAGGAAGATACACTGGTTTCTTAACTGGTACATATAGCATTGCTTCCATGGAAATTCTGTTCTGTATTATTCCCAATAGTGAAGTTTGGAATACATATAGTGTATCTCAGGCACACAAATAACGAAAATATGAGCTGCTAGGTTTGGTTTCACTAAAGTCTGAGCTCCCTTCCCCCATTCACAAGCTTGATGTTTTAACTTCATCTCTCATGCTATGGGGAATGAATTACAGAAGCAATCTATCCTAATTTGTTAACTTATTCAAATAACAGTTATTATACTTAACTATGCTAAAGATTATCTTTTTGGTGGCAGATTGTTTATTTTTTGATGAGGCTAATTACTGATTTTCCAAAGGTAATTTACATTTATTACTAATACATCTTTTAAAATGTGACAGATAAATGTTGTTCCCATAAGTGTATTATGAAAAAAGTTACTATTTAAAAACACATTATTTAATTTGAAAGATAAATGGCAAACACCATTATTTTCCCTGTAGCACCTGTGCTGTAAGCTCATTTAAATGTGTAATTCCATGTGTAGCTGCAATACTTAGAGAAAAATAATCTATAGTATATGTGTACCTTAAAAGCATACCGAGAATTCAAAGTTGAAAAAGGCATGATTTCAAATGTAGGTTGATTTTGTACTGTTTCAGTATTTACTTTGGCTGTACAGAAGAATAAAACGAGTAGTGAATAAATATTTTTGCCAAATATTGCAGTGCTGTTATTTAGTAGTGTGCTACCAAAAAAAAAAATAATTAAAAAAGACCATTGTGGGAAAATTATAACAATTATATAGGCAGGCTCAAAAATATCTCTGTCAGCACTGACTAGTCTCTGAGATGAGCCAACACGGAGATCTTCAACAGAGGTGCTCATAAAGCTATGCTGACTTTATTTCTCAATGAGGGGTCACCTTGAAAGAACTATCTTTCTGTACGTGAAATCAGGTGATCTTCTGCTGTCACTGTGACCTATGACTCACCAATGGGATGGGAATTTTTAGTTGCATATTCAATATGCATAGATATCAATACATTAAGGAGGTTTATGTGTTCTGTCCAAAGTCTTTTCTAGAGGACACCTTAGAATTCTATATGTAATCTGTTAGTTCCTACAAGTAAGTCCAAAAGCTATTTCCTTCCTTCTGTAATTTAAGTTTTAACTTAATTTAGGGAAAATATCATTTACTTGGACTAAGAAACCTAAATTGATTTTATCTGACAGTGCTGCAATGTTAGCTAGAATATCCTGCCACTTACCATTACCAGGAGAAACCCAGGACTGGTGCTCAGAAAACCTGACTGTTGTTTCCTGCTCAGCAATAGATTTTTTTTTTATGACTTATTCCTTCCTTGTCTGAGTTTCTTTAGCAAAAAAAGAATAAGAATAATGATCCATGGGACCTATGAAGCATGATTTACTTACTTAAAAATATTTTGAGATCCACAGATAAAAGATGGTACATAAATGCAAAAGACTGTTAATTATTTACTGCAGGAGAAAAATAATATGCAAGTTTACACAATAGTTAATATGTAATAATTTACTTTTAGAGACTGGAACTACCAGAATAATCTAAATCTTTGCTTATCCTTTATTTCCTGGAAGTTTTTATAGGGAAGTAAATACTATGAAGTTTCTTTATAGAGTTTAAAACAGTCTGACTTTTTTAGCTCCTTACAGTAGATGACTTTAAAAAAATCTAAAAAAACCAGATAGTCTTGTATTGTCTGTGAATTACATAATTTTTGAAAAACTTGTCATAATCCATCAGTGAGACTTTTCTTAGTCTAGATATGTGCAACTCATGCCAGAGTTGTAGATACCTTTTGATACAATCTTCCTCTTTATTCAGATCAGTTCTTCATTAATATCTAAACAAACTGTTGAGCTTTTACTATTTTCAAGTAAGTGTATTTCTCATCTAAATGGGGAGGGTGGTGGTCAGTTGCAGCAAAGAAGATCAAAGAAGAAGGTCACTGGATAGATCCAGATATTCCTGCTTAACTTGGAAGGCACATAATGCATGTCTGGAGTGCCTCCTAGGAAATGCCTGTGAGATGTGCTTTGCACTAATCTTTGAGCTGTATTCTGACAGTTATTTCTTCATAATCCTCATCATAAGCCTGTGCTCTTTGCTGAATAGTTTAACCCTATATTCTGAGCTGGATAATTCTATAGTATGCAAATTTGGCTCATCACTGGTACTAGAAGTGTCTAAATAGTTATTTGCAATTTAAAAATGCAGTTCTATTCATGAGTACTTATGTGACAATCCTTTCCTCTTCATTGAAATTTTATTATATATGTTTGCACAAATATTAAAATAATTGATGGGTAGATCTTTTTGTTGCTTAACTTTTGAAAATTTCTGTGTTTTCATTGATTGGTGCACTTCTGAGTGTGCTGAAGGTAAGTTCACAGGTAAGGATGAGAACAGGATCCAGGGAAAAAGTCAAATGTGATGAATACTCTAGTTTCTTTAGAAACAAAGTGTTTATGAAAATCAATGAGTTTTCTACATCAGTTCATTTTTTACACCAACTTGTACCTCAGGCTGTTAAAAGTCATTGTTTGCCTACTGTATGCTTCTGCATTAAAGGCTCTGGCATATGACCATTTAATGACTATCTATGATTGTTCTGGAAGACCTATGTTTTGCAAATAAAACTTCATTTTCTGTAACCTACTATTACTTTTTTGTTTCCTTTTAGAAACTGGGCTGCAATTCAGGTGCAGGTTCATCCTGTAAACCCTGGGATGACCTTCAATTCCATTGTATCACTGCCTTTCATTACACTGACTCCCAAGATAAATTTTCTTTCCAAATGTGATTTGTCCATGTTGGCTTTGTGATCAGGCTGAGTATGCTAGTCCAATGTCAGTGATCATTTTGCATTGTAGCAAGGCCATTTGCTTTCATATGGATTCCTCTCGCAAGCTACCTCTAATAACCTCCCCTTCCTAAATTGAATGCTCCTCTACTACTTATCACTGATTCTGTTCTTTGAAATTCTGCAGAATTCATGATCAGTCTGGTTCCTCTTTTCAGAATTGTACCTGTCAGTGCTCTTCTATTTTATGTATCAAATTTAATATTTATCTGTGTAATGCATAAGTTTATTGAAACTATTTTACTTCTTAAGTGACAGTTTTGTTGGATTGCAGCAAAAAGAAGTCATTAGTCCTCCTGATTGAATAGGAATTAAGCAATTAAAATAAATGGCATTTTATTTATTTAATTTAAAAATTTAATCTATGCAACACTTCAAGAAACAACTACATGGTGTTGTATATTAGAAACTGTTGACATTCTACTGAATCAAGTACAATATTTTGGGTTTTTATGCTTCTTGAGGTGGTATTGAGAAAAAAAGTTTTTAAAAAATGTGTGCCTTGCTGTATTTCTTATACCATTTATTAAAAAGCTGCTTTCACGGTAAAATTAGGTTGGCTTGAAAGGAGGAAATAGCAAGGTTAAGATGTGTGAATAATTTCTGTATATATGTATAACCAACTGCAAACATTGGTGTATAATGACAGTATAAAATGCTTTCATGTTTGTGATGTCCAGTGATGTGGAAATTATAAGCCTTAAAACCATTAGATTGCATGGTAATTAGAATTGGCATAATAAACATAGTTTATTGGGGAAAAAAAAGCAGAACTGGTGATCTGTTTTACCTGCGTTCCAAGAACAGAATGCTTTATCAAAATTAAGAAGAACATGATTTTCTTTTCAAATATTTCCTAGAAATATGCAACTCCATGACTGGTGAAAATTTGTATTACTTGGCTCAGAGGTAAAGAACTTTGTCATTAAAGATTCTGCAGGTCTTTGGGGCCTAACAAGGAGACACAAACATTTAGTAATATATATAGTATTTTATAGTGGATCTTTTCTTTGTTTATCAGTAACAGTTTATTGTCCAATTCATAAAATTTCATTCATTTATATATTGATATTGAATAAGCTCTCTCCACTGTAACAATTGGCTGTTTCCATGACTTAGACTGTACCTTTTAAGTGTTTTTATCTTGTGCTAAAACTACATTGTGTGGCCAAAAAAAGCCAGCCAGCATTCATCTCCTAAAAACACTATTAGGAAGGAATGTCAGGAAATACAAAAGACAAACAATGCCCTCTGATGCCGTCTTTAATCATTCCTTTTCCAAGTATATAAATGCTTTTACAAAAAGTTTCAACATTCCTTTAAAAAATGTGCATCAGTTTGACAAACTTAGCTGTAAGCTTAGATGAACTACACTGACCGGATTATAAATTCATACAACACTGAAGGAACAGGTATTTAAAAACCCTCATGTTTTCCAAATTATTAACAGCTTCCTATTACTGCAAGAGGCAAATTATTTATCTCTCAATTTAAATTTCCACTCTGTAGCCCTAGGCAGCCTATGATGTGTGTACGGCAGCAGTAACAATTCTTATCTTAAAGTGTAAATAAGAAGAAATATTTATTATGGGAGCCTTTTGAATCTGCAGAGATTTCTGCACTTGTATATCTTGTATCATGTACAAGTCTAGCAGGTTAACCTAAAATTACCTAATGTGTAACTATATAGCTAAAGATTACTTTAATATATTTTAAATATTTTTAAGATATATATAAAGTGATTCAGAATTTAAGCCCTAATTTTAGGAAAATATTAGCAGTGACAATTATGTTCATTTATTAGTTATCTTAACCATGATTTTTAAATGATCTTGACAGGGGAATTGGGTTAAGAATTATTCTTCTTTTCTCCCTGGAATTTTCTGGGTTATGCTGTATTTTTTTTAACTTTGTCTATAGTCATACCTTAAACTGTGATGACAGGCAAACTAATAAGTCAGAGGCTTTTCAGATCTGTCACCTCACCTGCAGAACTGCACAGAACTCCATCAATTACTTCTACTATTCTATCAGGCCATTTGCCACAAATTCACTTTTTTCCTGGGGGAAAACAGTAGCACCTTTCAAATCAAAAACCCCACATATTCATCATACAATGTCTGGAACATTATATGGTTGCAACTCAAATTTCTGCGGTTCCTTTCTGAGGGATTGGAACATTTTAATTTAACTAATAATCCCACAACTATATTATTTGGTCTCATGAGATAAAGTCATCATTTTTATGACTGTGATGCAAGACCCATCATTATCAACAATCCCTTTTTGGCACAACTAGAAGATTTACCCATTTTTTAAGTTTTATTCTCAGAATTGACTTTGTTGTCAATAAAAATTGATTTCTAAATGGAGAGAAAACTCTGATATATATTCTACAGAATTGGTTCATGTAAATCATGCATACGGCCAAATTGTGCTAGAACTTCTTGCAAGTGCTAGAGCTAACTTCCTAAAGGAAAGTATTGGTATAGTGTAAAATTAATGTTGATATACCAATAGTATGTCTAAGATCAGCCCATACAGAGAGTCCTGTACAGAACCCATTCCCTGATGGTGAAATTCTCTTGTGGTGTAGAAGAATGCTGCAAGCTTTCTGTGGAATTTATCCCCTCCTAAACTTCCATAGACTGCTTTTTATTCCATACACTCCCTGGCTCATGCTTGAACATCTGCAGTGTGAGGAGGCCATTTGACAGCAATGGCCCTGACACACGGATCTCCTTTTCCTGCCTGCTTCACATTCCTTCCTCAGAGAGCCAGACCTCTCCAGCTCTAGGCAAAGGGAGTGCACACTAACACTGGTGCAAAAAGACATGCCTGGGACTACAATTTAAAATGGTTTTTTGTAAGCACAGCCATGTCCCTGGACTTTCT